ACACATGCCACCCTCACACTGCTGCTTTGCAACATGCTACATTTAGTGCCTGTGAACTGCAAGTGAATAAACCCATTCCTGCTTCCTTGTGGTGGCTTTAGTAATACCCCACAAGAATTAAAATGAAAATACATTGCTATAGTTGATTAACAACTTCAAGATTAACACTAGTTCATCTGAAGAAAATGTCTTTAAACATCAGCCTGAAGCACAGCATACTTTGCGTGATGGAATGAAAAATGTTGGCAATCACATCAAGCTTATTCACAGACTTGCAGAATAGTCATGAGTTTAGCTGCATCGTGTCTTCCATGTACAGTAGGGGACTGTCTAAAGGAACGAAAGTCCCTTTGTAACTAAGATTTGCTCTTTAATAGCTTGTCTTTAAAAATAAAAATGCATCTGTTTTCCTCTTTGCAATAAAATGTGCCTTAACCACAGTAGCTTTCGTAATTTGGAAAAGCTCTATGTTTAACTGTTAGGGAGAGCCTGAGATGACGATGGCAGATAGGCATATGCTTCTGAATTGTTTAATCCCCTCAGATGATGATGGCTGTTCTTGGGCCAATGACTCTCAAGTCCGTTAGATGTAAAAGCATAATTCTGGGGCAGGTCACTTCTCCATGCATCAGTGTTTTTATGTGGCTGCATTTTGGCCATCTCCTGATGTTAGAGAATTTGCCCCACAAATTGGGAACTGTCTCTCCTCAGCTGTCCTTATCAGAAGCATGGCTGTGGGAAATAAAGGATGGATTTCTGGACCCTTTGTGTCCCTGAAATGAGCCAGACCATCAGAGCTGCTTGCTCGTATCACACTGTCTTGCCTTCCTCCTCTAGAGAGCTGTGCTTTGGAATTTATTGAGGGACACAGTGAAAAACTACCGTATGACGTCACACCTGGTCTGCCTGGCCTACCTGGTTTCTTGTTGCCTCCTGTGTACAGACCTGAAGTGACGGTATTAGAGCTAAGTGTACAGAAAAGCTCTTCCCCCCTGGGGTACACAGCATGGTTCCTCACTCCCCTTCCTCCCAACACACACAGATCTGGAGATACACACACTCTCTGAGTTTGGAAAATTGCTTCTTCTCTCTCTTGTTCTAGCGACAAAGTTGTTGAAAGCCAAATAGTCATTTTGTAAGACTTAACTAATACACTGTCTTACCCCTGGTCTCTTGGTCTCTATTTCAGTCACTTAACACATGTGAATAATGCATACTATATACCAGCTGCTGTTTCTGAGCTTTATCTAAATATTACCGCCTTCAGTCCTCTTAAGGACCCTGAGAAGTTAGTACTGTTGTTATCCCTATTTATAGATCAGAAAAATGAGGCACAGGGAGGCTAAGTATTGTGCCTGGAGTCACACAGGAGCTAAGTGTGCAGCTGGGTTGCAGAGTCCTTGCTCACAGCCCCTGAGCTTTGCTGCCTTGGCAGTGATTCCCTGCGGGAAGCAGGTGGGACAGCATTTGGTCACAGAAATACCCCTCCCTCTTCCACTACACCGTGTGATCAGGAACCCCTATTTACTTGGCTGTCTATTTACCTGGCTCTCTATTTACCTGGCTGTCTGTTTACCTGGCTTTCAGATTCTGCATTGCTCTTCTCACGGCCGTATTTTGTAAGTTACATCATTGATTCCTTTTTGAAGTGATGCATGGTGCATATACTTCAAATTAAAATAAATCATAAACTTCTGGAACACTTTTAAAAATAGGTCCTTTCTTAACATGACACAACATTAGGAGGATGTGCACAGAGTTTTTGGACTGGTAAGCATGAATTTGCATTGTACCATGCACCCCGTTTTTCATTCTTCTTTTTGACAAGGGCACACATTTTAAGTTTGACTGGTTGGAAGGCACCATGTTTAGCTATGTAACTGAATAAAATCGGTGAACTGAGGACATTATTAGTATCATTAATACCATGTTATAAGCAATTATAAAGTTGACAGACTTAAGTTACGGCCCAAGAGCAACTAACTGCTCTTCTTTAATTTGATTTGCTACCTAAGAAATAAAATGTTGCCATTTTATGAGCTACTTTAAACTTACAGCTTCTCCCAGTTTGACACTCTTGGCTTGTTTCTATATAAGGCTGTGTGCAGGTACATGAAAAGCGTTGGACCTTTGGGATGTGTCTCCTTGGGAAATCTCTTTGTTAGCCCAGTTCTTACTTGATTTATCAGGCATTCATCTAAGCCAGCATAACTCGACATTATAGATAGGTCATTAAATTAATCCTTATGATAATAGAGTAGCTTAAGTTGGCAGGTACAAAGATAAGCCCATGAGATCATTGGTGGGTGTTAACCCTGCTGCACGGCCACTGAAGAAAGGAACAGGTACAGTTTGGCTGGAGGCTGCATTTGTAAGCACCTTTAATACCAAGAGCTGTATGACCCCTTTGGTGTGTGTACTACCCAACTGAATATGAATATACATTAGCTTTTTCTAATGGTACCTCAGTGCTCTAGAAACGACTTAAATATGGGAAACTTCTGAAGGGCTTAAAGTAGGAGAGTAAAATTTTGGAAAGACCAGGGTGGAAAATGGAGGGGGTGGGCAGAAAGAGGTTACTGTAATCCAGGGGAAACATTATGGTGGCTGGAAGCAGGGTCAGGTTAATGGGCATGTGGGTGAAGTTGCGTGAGAAAGGGTAATGGCCAGAGTAAGGTCCCGAGCTAAATGAGAAAAACATCCTCAGAGGGTGGAGTGGTCTTTCCAAAGGGGCATACATGTCCCACTGAGAGTGCCTGTGTGGTATGTGAAATAGAAAACTAAGCTGCTTACCTCTTATTTTGAGCCTCACTGGGACAGAGCATTTTTGACCAGCAGAACTTAATTTCATCTCTACACTGCGTTTCAGATGCACTTTTGGTCTTTTGTTTTTATAACAGCTTTATTGAGAAATAATCATATACCATAAAATTCACCCTTTTAAAGAGTACAGTTCAGTGTTTTTTAGTGTATTTACAGAGTTGTGCACTAGCACCCCTATCTAGTTTTAGAATATTTGCATCACCTCCAAAAAGAAACCCCATATCCATTAGCATTCACTCCCTATTCCCCTCTACCTCCAACCCCTGGCAACTACTATTGATAGTTTACTTTCTGTCTCTAAGAATTTGCCTGTTCTGCACATTTCACATAAATGGAATCATACAGTATGTGGTCTTTTGTATTTGGCTTCTTTCATTTAGCATAATGTCGTCAGTGTTCATCCATGTGTAGAATGTGACCCTACTTCATTCCTTTTTATTGCCACATGTTTTATTTATTGATACCCCACATTTCGTTCATCCATTCATCGGTCAATGCACGTTTGGATTGTTTCCACTTTTTGGCTATTATGAATAATGCTGCAGTGAACGTTTTGCATACACGTTTTTGTGTGGACTAACACTTTTTGTATTTTTGTGTTTTTGTTTTCATTTTTCTTGGGTTTATACCTAGGAATGGCCCATTTGTTTTGCGTCTTCTCAAAAAGTTGAGTATTTTTTATGAAAGTGGGATCTCAATTGAAAACCAGTCTCTGGTTTCAGATGGGGGTGTATAACTGTTAAACATAGATTTTAGTGAATTTTGTTAGGCGGTTAAAAGATAGGTCAACTCCCAGTGTGTGTGTGTGTATGTGTGTATGTATGTGTACATACGTGTATCACACTACAGTTTGGTAGGTGTACTCTTAAGATATTCATATTGTGGTTCTATGAACTGCAGACCTCTGGACAGTGGCATGTTTACTTCCCCCACAAGCCGAATTTCAGTTACTTAAAATCCATCAAAAGAGAAGAGGGAGGAATGAATAGGCAGAGCACAGAGGATTTTTAGGGCAATGAAACTACCCTGTATGATACCATAATAACAGGTACATGTCATTCCTTATAAAGCTGCCCAGCCTCATAGAATTTTCACACCAAGAGTGAGCCCTAATGTAAACTTTGTGGTACTGGGTGACTCTCATGTGTCAATATAGGTTCCTTGATTATAACAAGTGTACGACTCTGGGATAATTGCTAATGGAGGAAGCACTGTATGTGTGGGGGCAGGGGAAATATGGGAAGTTCTAGACTTACTGCTCAATTTTGCTATAAATCTAAAATGGTTGTAAAAAGTTAAATCTATTTTTAAACTCCATTAAAAGATCACAGCAGTTGTTTGTATTTCAGAGGGAATCTTCCACCATTTTGTCTGAGGTGACAGATTGTGTGTTGCACACGAGGCAGCGTTTCCATAACAGGAAGTTTGCTCTGTGTGTAGCCTGGTCTGCAACTGCCCTGGTGACCTGGTGGCTGCCCTCCTCTGCACCTCACTCCTAGACCACAGTGTTCCAGCAGTGCTTGCCTTCCCATTCTTTAAGCTTACTTGGCTCATTGTTGCCTCAGGGCCTTTGAACCAGCTGCTTCCTTAGCCTGGAGTGCTGTTCCTCCTTGGCTGGCTGCCCCTCCTCCATTACTATTAAGTCGGTTTTTTTTACCTTTTGTTAGTAATTTAATAAATTTAACAATTTTATAATTTAATACATATATAGTCATGGGATGTGGAGTGTAGTGTGGGAATGGAGTCAATGTAATTGTAATTGATATCTATTAAGTCTTAACTTCAATAGCATTCCCTCCTTGACCATTTGCTCTCTAAACCAGCCACATCAGCCTTGCTCTGATTCTGGCTGACTTCTCTTGAGTGACATGTATCACAGCCATCTTGTGTATCTACTAGTTTGTTGTCCTGTCAGAGTCTGAGCATCGTGAGAGAAAGGAACCTGCCTGCCTGCAAGTCTCCCCCTCTGAACCAGGTCTGTCAGGGGTTAAGTAAGCGTTTGTGGAATGAATGGCCAAGATGCTTTTCTCCTGAGATGCTGGTACCTGTTAGAGCCTGTGTTTTCCTGGGGACAGTACCAGAGTGCTCCTCATTTCACACCCCCCCGCCCCCTCCCCCAGGAAACCAACACAACATAACAAAGCATCCTTTAACCTCTCACTTTTTTTGCCCTTTAGAGCTATCATCCTCGCCCCACTCTTCACTCTTCGCACAAAGGATCTGCTCTGAGACTGGGGGTGTGGACCGCTGCAAGGACCAAGGTGGGACTCGCCCGGCACCTTCTGCAAACAGTAGGTTGGGTGCTTCCTGGCACTTTATCATAAATGCAGTTTGCATCAGCCGAAGGCTGGCTGCCTCCCAGTTGTTCTGCAACTTCTCTGCTAGTTTCTGTTTCCCAGTTCAGACATTTATTTCAAAAACACCTTACCTCCAAGAATTTCTGCTTTTTTCTCAGGAGAGTGTTAGCTTTCAAGGTGTTTCAGGTGAGGGGTTTTCCTTCGCTCATTGGATGCTGTCTTAAGTGTCAGCAAGAGAAATAGAGGGAACACCAGAATTTCCTAACCTCTTTCCATTGCTGCCAAGAGACACCTCTCAGTCACTGCCTCGGCCGTGCGTTAAGAAAAGTTTGAGGCAATAAAAGTCTTCCAAGAAACACCCATTCAGCAATGTTAATGAATTTATCACTAGCAAAGTTATTCTGTGTTATAGTTATTGAAACCAAGGTTAAAGCGGCGTGGTAGTTACACCCAGTCTGTACCCTTGAGGAAGGAGGAAAGATGTGATCGACATTGTACAAGTCAGTTCGCTGTCTATACTAATTTGAACTTCATTTCAATGGTGATTTTATTCTTGAAAATAAAAATAGCAGTTGCATTTTTAATGCACAATGTTTTTCTTCTCTACATGTCTGGGCACGGTGTGACTGGGGTTTATTTGACTCTTGTGATAGCCATTTTTCATCATTATTAATTAGTGTGGTATTTGCCTGAAAAGACTTCAGCCCTAAGATGGACCCCAGGGCCAGGTAATCCCAAATTAATTAAAAATACATTTTTTGAATATTTAAGAGTCCCTGTTCAGCACAGCATTCTATAGGCTTATTTGTTTGTCTCCTTTAAAATTCAAAATAATTCTAGGATTCTCACTAGGATTTGAATGCCTATATTGGGCCGATACTAGGAATGACAACTATTTCTAAATATTTGACCCCAGCGATATCTCTCCCTTTGTCTGCTGGCGTCTGTCCCACTGAAGATGGGTTAAAAAATAAATTCATTTATTCAGCAAATACTTACTGAACAATTTCTGTGTGCCAGGCATCCTTTTTCAGTGTTGCAAACAAGGCAGTGAACAAAACCAAGCCCTGCTTTCATGGAGCTTTTAAAAATTCCCAGTTATCATCCTCTGCAAACAAACGGGAGAAGGGAGGGGCGGAGAACTCCACTCATTCCCAGGTGTCCTGGGGAAACCCCCTTCAAGGTGGCAGACAGACACAAATGAAAAGAAGATGGTTGGAACCTGATTTGGAAAATAAGGTAAAAGCAGTCTTATGCCCTAGTTTAATCACTGCAGAAATATAGACGCTTATTAAAAACAACAAACAAAAATGATGCCAGGTTGATGTAACTTGGTCTTAGAAAAGAAAGAGGGATTACTTTTCAAGTGTGCCACTTTTATACATTTATTCAGGTTCATAGATTCTGTACCAATTTTGCCTCTACCATCCTCTCCCAGCCTTTGCTGTCAGTGTCTAATGCACTTTCAGTTTATCTCTGCACAGACAAGCAAAGATGAATATGAATTTAAATTTGCCCCCTTCATAAAGTAAAAGATAGCAAATTATACTTCTCTGCAATGTATGTTTTTGTTCTAGTATATGTAGGAGGGTTTCAACACATCAGTACGAAGAGAGCTTCCTCATTCTTTTCCTCCACAGTTACAGAGTCGTCCATTGTATGGATGTACCACAATTTAAATAGTGACCTATTGATAGACATTTGGGTTGTGGCCAATCCTTTGCTCTTAAACAATGCTGTGGTAAATAACTTTGTATATAGGTTATTCTGCATGGATGTAATTGTATCTGTATATATTTGCAGAGTAGAATTGCAGGTCATAAGGTGTGTGTATAATTTTGATAGGTATTGTCAAATTGCCTCCCTGAGGAGGTTTTTCTTATTCTCGCCACTGCTAAGAATTTGTCATTAATTGTTAATAGGGTCTGGATTTTCTTCCAATCTTGGAGGTTAAATGGTAGTCACAGTAGTTTCAATATAGGAATACTATTCAGAATTTTCAGCGGCATTTTTTTTTTAAAGAAAATAAATGCTTAGAGAACTAAACAGGACTAGAGCTCAGCTGTTTTTATTATACAAGAGAACTACTAAAGTCCATCTTAGATCTCCTGAAATGTAATTTAAAATACTGTTTGTCCATGTTTTAAATGTTACATTCTAAGTCCTGAAGACACACAGGATAAAAATGCTTTTCACGTTCATGATATACCTAGGAGACCTACTAAGCATTAAGATGTTTCTCCTATAGTTTGGTCCTATTTTATAGCTGATTGAAATAGGACAGTGTACAAAAGTGAGTTACCACAGCAGGGCTGAGACTGCTCTCTTTAGAAAGGACTGCTTGCAAGTCTGGTCCTCAGCTGGCACCTGGGGACATACATTTGGGGAGATAGCCCACCATAATGGCTAACTGTGCCTGAACTGTTTGTGCAAACAATATGGTTTATGTTGAATACCTGCTTGCGTTTAGGAGGAATTCAGGTACATGCCTGGCAGGAGGTGCCTATGTGACCAGCCCCAATAAAAATCCCCGGGCACTGGGTCACTAATGAGCTTCCCTGGCAGGCCACATTTCACACAGGTGTCACAGCTCATTGCTGGGGAATTGAGAATGTAACTCTACTGGGAAAGGACCCTTGGAAACTCGCTTCTGGTCCCCTCCGGTCTTGGCTTCACGCACCTTTTTCCTTTGCTGATTTTGCTTTTTATCCTTTTGCTGTAACCAATCATAGCCATGAATCCAACGATATGATGGGTCCTGAGAGTCTTCTTAGTGAATTATTGAACTGGAAGTGGCCTTGGGAACCCTGACACAGTCAGCTTTGCAAAGATTTTAATACTCTCTCTGCAGTGTTAGTGCAAAGTGACACAGATATTTTTAGCATGCAGTTAATTGACGTTTGGCATTATATCTTGACTTGTAGTCTGTGTTCTGTTGTACAATGTGTAATTTTTCAGATTTCTAAATGATGATTTAGCCTTTACTACAAATGGAGGCAACAGGAAGGCTGCTGGGTACTGAATGGTTGGTTTTATGTTTTGTGGTGAATCCACAACTGGTTCTTTGGTTCTCCCAATGTCTATATTTAGGCTTAAAAACTTCTTATTTTATTTTTTTATAATTCAATTATTAGATAATTGGATTTACTCAAACTCCTTTGGATTCATAACTGCAGGATTTCAGTTAGGCATTCTGATTTCTACATATGTTCTGATTCTGAAACTCATCGGCAAATAAATAATCCTAGAAATTTCACTCGGGACAGCAGATGTTTGTCCAAATAGGACATAAGGCCCAAAGATGCTGAAATAGAGCTTCATTTTGTATAACTGTATATTAGCATCTCATTAAAAAATGTTAACTATTCAAATAGAAAACTGAAAAGTGTTAAATATGGAGATTTATTTGTTTAAGCTGCTTTTCCTAAAGAAAGTAGATGGCATCTAAAGAGAAGTGTCTGTATGGTTTAAAATGTCAAATGTAGATCAGAATTCTTAATGCTCATCATCGACGGGTATGTTTTGGTGATAAAACAAAGATTGACTGACACTGTGGCTGCCTTATGTGTAGTACCTCATTTAATTTTCATAGCAACCTTGCAAGGTAGCTACTGTTGACTCCACTTTGAGACAGAGGATGTAAGAAACTTGCCCAAAATTAAGTGATTTGCTAGAACGAGGGAGAACTATTGGGTTGTCAGAAAAGTCATGACGTATTTTTCTGTTTTTTGTTGCAAAAATGCGTCATGACTTTTCTGACAACCCAACAGAATTTGCGTTCGGCTTGCTCACCTCTCTTCCTAGGCTGAGTTCTGCTTTCCGAGGTCAGATGGTAGCATCTCCTTGGTGCTACAGAAAGTTGACTAAATGAAGCACCTCATACATTTACCTTTGAGTATAGGGATGATCCGATCATTTTTCTGCTGAGTGTAAGAAATCCTTATCTTTTTGGTTTTAAGTGTCAGCAGTGGGAAGTGGGACCTTACCAAACAGAAACTAAGCATGTCCCTCCCTGATGCCGTTATCCTGGGGGCAAAATCCAAATACCCTAACAAGCATCTTCAGGAGCTCACCTTTCCCCACGTCAGCCAAGCTGCCCTTCCTTCTGTTCTCATACATACAAGCCACGTTCTCCTTTGCTCCTTGAGGCCTCTGCACATACTATTCCTTCTGTCTTCAAGAACCCCACTCCCAACTTGCCTTTTTCCTCTTCTTCCTTTGGATCTGAGTTGAGAGGCCCTTTCTTCCAACTGGGGTGGGCCTTGGCAATGTGTTTCTATAAACTCTTGAAATTTAAATTCCCCAGACATTTATTTCCCCATGTTACAGTTGTTTCCCGACTACGCGTATGTGTCACATACTTTGAGGGCAGGAACAGGGTCTGTGTGGCTCATCTGGCCATAACATTCAAATATCTAAATGAAGGTTAAATAAGGTTTTAAAAGATGAAACAGAATTAGTGGTAATTTAGCTCTCAGAGTACACAAATGCAAGAAATTGTCATCGCTCTCTCAAATGAGGCTCTACCCCCATATAATTATCAGAAAGCATTAGTCGTAGCATGGGAACAAATATTCTTCCTTTGTTACTAAAATTGCATTAAGCAGGTAGGCAGCAACAAAATCATCACCTTAAATACTAAGCCTCCATCTGGCAGTTTCATTTCCCAAGACTAAACTCTATTTTGAAAATCGGAAGAATGATGCTGCCTCAGTTACAGACCTGAACCCAAACATTTCTAGGGCTGCAGCAGACCCCCTTATCAAGTATGAACCCCAAAGTGGGAGACCCTTCTTTAGACATGATTAGGACTTGAGAATATTTTGAAAAGCAATTCACTCCCTTATTGCTTGCCAGTGGTCATTTTTACCTACAATAAACCAGTTCCAGATAACGAGTACCTGTTTTTTAAAGCTATTACGGACTTGGGTGGATTTCAAGAATGTTTTAGACATGAAAAGATTTTTTTCCCCTATAATATGTCTTCAAAAAGA